TTTTCGTCGCTTGGCAACGACGTTGTAAAACAAGCCGCCCCCCCCGGTGTTTGCCATCGGGATTAGGTTTTCGTCGCTTGGCAGCGATGTTGTCAAACAAGCCGATCACTTCGTGGGCTCCGGAACCACATGACCGTTTTTTTTTTCCTTTGTTTTTGTTTTGCGGTAAACATGACTGGTGGTCGAGTAGATTATGTTGTGCGGGGTCGAGGACCCTCACTCCGCGCAAAGCGGATGATCGCACCACGTTGCGTTAGATTGGTGAAGCACCCTCGGGGCAGTTACACAATGCTTACAACGGTCTCTGGAAGTGAAAGCACCAGAAAATCAATTTAGTCATACGCAGCTGTCATCCGTACGCAAGGAAGTAAGCACAAGATGCCGAACACCCTTAGCAGGATGCAGCGCACCCTTCATGCGACTCGCCCAATATCTCACGGCGCTTCGCGCTTGGTGATGTGAGAGCCTGGTCCGGTGAGAACCCGGCGTGCTCCGTCCCGGCTTTGTAGGGATGCGAGGTCCATGGTCTAACGACTACGGCATGCACGACGATGAGTACACCCCCCCCCTACCCGCTACTCCTGGTACATACCATATCAGAATGAGCCTGACTCCAGATGGGACGCAGATTCGGAGGGTTCCGCAGCGGCACCTTCTGCTACTCCCAGCGGCAGCGGCAGCGGCGGCGGCGGCGGCGGCGGCGGCGGCGGCGGCGACGGCATTGCAGGAACAGCGGGGGATTCACCTCAGACCCCCTCCCAACGGCAACTGCTACCTTTGGTGGCGCCGATGGAGGCCGTGGCAACGGCGGAGTTAGAGGCGGGCTTTGAGCGATGTTCGTCGTTCGCCAGGTCTCCAACGCCTTCGGCCGAAGATGGGGCGAACGGGGGGGAGCAAGCAGCTGAGATGGCAGCAGCAGCAGCAGCAGCAGCAGCAGCAGCAGCAGCAGCATCGGCGGCAGAAGCCCGGGACGCGGCAGCTTCCGCGGCAGAAGCCCGAGCCGCGGTCAGCAGAGCCAGTGCTGCTGCGCCTTCCCCTCCGCAGTCTTCTTCGTCTATTTCCGTCGGTGTTAACAACACGCCGACCGCAGCTATAGACGGCGGGATACCTTCGGGGACTAGACGGGGTGGTGAAGGCGCGAGGTGAGCAGAAAAGTTAAAGAAAGGCTGAATGTCGTGGCGTGTGTGCTTATCCTACCTTCGCTGTTAGCCGTATGCCTGAATCTAGCAGGCAAAAAAAACATTGTCGTGTAGTTCCCAATGTGCCTTCGCTATTTACTGTTTGCCTTCTTGAAGTATCGGCTTTTCCCACCAGCTGGGTGGACTTGGACGTCTATCCATCCACACACACCAACCCAGAACGGGCAATCTAAGTACCATTAAGCGCCGATCAAGCAGTACACCCAAACGAAGAACTCAATAAACAGTCCGCACTAATTACTCATGGACCATCGACCACCGTACCCCCCCCCCCCCCCCCCCCCCCCCCCCCCCCCCCCCCCCCCCCCCCCCCCCCCCCCCCCCCAGTGCCGCCTCATTCGCGCCAAGTTGAACTCCCCCGCCATCGCGCCGCGCATGTTTCGCTTCCGTCTGGATGATGATGTCGTTTCATTTTTGTTCTGACGATCCAGGCCCAGCGGCAGCGGTGCTGCGGTGGAGGGAGCGGTTGAAGCGACAACGTCGGCCCCTCCTCCATTTGGTGACGTGCACGGTCAGGTTGGGACGGAGGTGTTGTCTTGTGAAGCTTTAACGGCGGGGGCGGCGAGGTGAGAGACCCCTTGTTCCCAAGGCATGATGCCCACTGGCTACTGCTGAACATGATGGCAGAGACGGGGGGGGGAGTTGTCTTTCAGATCAAGCGAAGAAGACGACTTGGCTTGGATGAGATGAAGGGATGAGATGGAGGTGTGGGGGGTGGGGTAACGAGAACACGTGTGGCCCCGTGCAGCATTGATGGGTCCACGCGAAATGCGCGGTGGAGGACTCTCCTCGCACATCGTGTTGCTCAAGTTCAGGGCACGTGGGTTGTGCTGTACGGTACGTGTTGGCTGTCTTGCTTATTGTCGACGTGTCTCCCTTCCTTGGTCGGCGATGTGTCACCCGCACAAATGAACAGTCCCGCACCGCAGCCTGACAATCCCGCACAACAAACTGACAGTCCCACGCCCCGCGCTCCATGATGGCACTTTTACTGTTGAAAAAACCCTCCCGCCATCCTCATTCAGTGTTTCACCCGCATAAGCGAAAAATCCCGCAAGCGCAACCCATGCAGTCCTGGCCCGTAAGCTGACAGACCTTCCGTCCTCGTTCCCCCCGCGACCCTTCCGTTTTCGCAGGCGGCGCGCCGGCATAAACGAGAACGACGTCCGCAACAGCGGTAGCACCGGCGGGATCACACGCAGCCCCTTCAAGCCGGTCGCTCTCCGACCTCGGCCTAGCCAGCCGCAAGCCGCCGCGTCCGCAGGCGGCGGCGCCGGGGGCGGCGGGGCGTTCGAGGCGACGACGCCGTACAGCTCGATATTTCCTCGGCGGCAGGGGGACGACGAGCGTACCGACAGCAGGGTCGCGGGAGGTGGCGATGTCGGGCCACCCGGGCTCAGCGGTGGTATCCGCACGGGGCGAGAAAGCGTGTGGACACCGCGCGGTACGGCTGCGGGTGCGGCGGCGGCGGTGGGGGATGCGGGGTCCTCGGTTATGGCTGAGCCGGGATCGGCGGGAGGTATGTCCCCAACACATCCCCTAATGCCGCGGCACGGTGTAGTAGATGTTCGAGGAGAAGAGGGACCGGCAGCGGCGGCGGCGGCGGCGGTGGCGGCGGTGCCCCCGCCGTCGCCGCCGCTGCCTAGCGGTGATGGAGGAGGAGTGACGCGTGAGGGAACGCGGGGGGGAGAGTCAGAGGTGGGCTCGAGCAGCACGTCGACGCTGCCACCGCTTGACCAGGAGCTGACCGAGCTGCTGGAGCGGTGAGTTGGCGTGCTTTGTCGTGGCCAGAGGTGTTTGGAACGCTGCGCTTTGTTGCCCGTTTCGTGGCCGACGTGTCGACTTGTCGGAACCCGATAATGTGTGCGTTTGCGAGAATGCGTGAACCTATCTGGTCGAATCTCGTGACGAGCATTGGAGGGCGTGAGGCATCTTTTGGTTATATCCAATGACAAATGAATGACACTAAGTCTTACGTGCAGGCCTTTGGGAGGAAACTGAAAACTTGGGTGACGGTTTCTCGACACCTCGCGTCGCCGTTCCAAACGTACACACGTAATCGCCCCTCCATCCTCTTGTTTCTTGGCGCCCGCTCTCGGCTTGGATCGATCCCTGACGGTGTCGGTCTGTCGCACCGCACCGTCGCGACGAAAACAAGAACAGACACCGCCGCCTGGACAGAGAGGCAGCCTTGATCACCCGCCAAGCGGAGGCCGACGCTAACCGCTGGGACGACGACGACGACGACGCCAACACCCTCTCTTCCCGGGCCCCGCGATCCCCCTCCTCCCCGGACCACTACGCCACGGACTCCTACAGCAGCTGGCGCAGCAGCGGTAGCGGCGACAAGGAGAACGAGGAACAGAAGCGGGGTTCCTCGGAGGAAGGCGGGGATGGATTCCTCGTACCCCCGGGCACGCATCAGTTCGGCGGCGGCGGCGGCGGCTGGCGCTTCGGATCGGGCCCGGGGGTAGCGGGAGGGAGGGCAGGGCAGATCCGACTCGGCGCTGGAAGCGGAGGTAGCGCAGGCACTAGCAGCGGCGGTGGCGGCGGCAGCACCAGCGGCGGCGGCGGCGGCGGCGGCGACGGCGCGAGCGTGGTTGCTCCCGGAGGAGCGGATGCCGTGTCGTGGGACCGGGAGCTAGCGAGGACCCTGTCGAGGGAAGGCCCGGCCGTGCCGGGCTGGACAAGCCGCTGGCGGCAGCCGGCCATGCCGGGGTCACGGGCGGCGCTGGGGTTGTGGGAGGGAGCCGGGGGCCTGGACGTTGTGGAGCGGGACGAGGCGGGCGTTGTGGAGATTGCGGGAAGCGTGTCTCCCGGCGACGGCGCCGCAGACACGGCGCAAGAGGTGAGAATCGGGTTTGTGCAGCGACGGGCGTTGCAAGTCGTTCTTCGAATTTGCGCCGGAGTGCCATTTCGAGCTCTCATCCGATCCAACGGCGCACCCAATCTACGTGTTGCCTGGTAGGCACTTTTGCCGGGAAACGCCATCGAGTGGTAGGTTTCCCCCTCCGTCCTGCTCACGACGAAAGCTTGCGGTAGACCAGTCCCATCGCCGGCGATGTGCAGTCGTCGTCGTTCAGGCTTGAGCACACCATTTTGCTTTTATGTTTCGGAATTGTGGTTCCCCCCAGAGTATTTTGACACAGGCAGGCGTATTCACTTGCAAATAGTGCCGTCATGCCTTATGGACCATTGTGAGGGCGGGGACACAACAGCCGTGTGTGTGATCACTGGTCGCTCGGCCGACCGATCATATGCGAGCCCGGCATTGGAGATCCACGGCACTAGCCACTGGGGTGGAGGACCATGTTCGATGCCGCGAGGGCCGTCGAAACGCTCACTCCACACAGCAGCAGGCACGGGCGTGAGCCACCAATGTTAAGACGGGCATGGTGATTGCCGCCTGCTGGTAGCCCATTCGTCTGAGGCATCGGCCATCGTGATCACCCCGTTGCCTGGCTCGCCCTCGCCGCCGCCGCGTGTGCTCACACCCGTCGTCCTTGCACGTGGAACAACAATCATATGCATGACGGAGTGCTCTCGCTACTGTAAAACAGGTGACGGAGTGGGCGAGGCGCATCCAGGCCTCGATTGAGAACATGAACAGGCTGGTGGATGGCTTCCAGCTCGCTGGGGACGGCAGCAGCAGCACCAGCAGAAGCGAAGCCGCCGGCACCGTAACCAGTCCCGACTCATCCATGTCGGGAGTACCACGACGGGACGATGGCGATGCCCTCTACTCCGGGGTCACGGCAGACAGCGCTTCTCATGCGACGGTGTCACGGTCCAGGGGGTCCCGCGGCGTGGAGAGAGCGGTGGTCGGGGCGGCGGCGGCGGCAGCGGCAGCGGGGGCGCCTACTTCTTCCTCGTCGTTGTCGGCCTACGGGTTTGAGGGCTTCGCCTCCGCCCAGCAAGGATTCCGACGTGGGTTGGAGGGTCTCGTGAAGAGCGGGGTTGGCGGCGGCGGGGGGGCATCGCAGACGGGGTTCTCGTCTTCGAGGGCGGGGTTCGGGTCGGGTTCTGCGACGTGTACGCTCCCGCCGGGGGAGCCAGCCGCAGCAGCAACCAGCAGCAGCAGCGGAGGCAGCGACGTCGGCGGTACCAGCGCAAGTGGCGTGGGAAGAACATCCCGGTCGTTTTCCCCTCCGGCTCTCGAAGGGGTCGACGGAAGGCCCAGCACCGCCGAGCACCATTCCGCGGACGGGTCCCACGAGGAAAAGAAAAAGGGCGAGGATGAGAGCAGCGGGGGTTGGGAAGAGGCCAAGGGAGACGGGGCTGTGCGTTGGAAGGGAGGTGACGACATAGTAGGAGCGAGCGGCGGCGGCGGCGGCGGCGGCGGTGGCGGCGGCGGCATCAAACCGTTCGTCCGATCCTCGCTGTCTTCGTCCTCGGCCTCGTCGGTGATGGGCCGAGCGGACGCCGTCTTGGCGGAAGCCGCGCGCGGGATAGGGCTTGGCAGTGGCGCTTCTGTGGGAGGCGGTGACTACAGGTCGTCTTCGTTGAGCAGCAGCACCGGTAGCAGTACGTTGGGGCCCGACCTTGAGGCCGAGATAGCCAGCCTGGAGGCTCTCGCGGAGTCTCTGCAGCAGCGGAAGATGCGCTTCGAGCCTAAGGTGCCCGACGACAGCCTTTTCTCGAGAAAATGCGAGCGTTTGCTTGTTTTGGTAGTGCAACCCTTGCTCTTTGGTTGCGGCAGGTGGCAATTTTAGGTGGGGGGCTTTTTTTTACCGTCAGACGTCGTTCGTGCACATCCATCCAGGTTTTGATAGTCGTGTTGTTGGCGGCATCTGTTGGGCCGGGGCACCGAGTCTAACGACGATGCAGGTCCGGCTTCACCCTGTGACTGCGCCTTGAACAGGTGCTCGAAACGGTTTTTTCCGAGCATGTATTTTTCTCCGAAGCACTACTGTTATGATTCTGCTGTGCAAGATGATTACGTCATGCACATGCCGCCCAAAAGCGCAAAAACTAATGTTACAATAGCGAGTTTTGCGACAAATATATCTGCGGTGTTTCGAAGGATTTCGTTTTTCAGCGGGGAAGTCCTGAGCTGGTGTATGCCACCCTCATCTTGGCAGAATCACATGAAATGGGTAGTATTGTCTTCGTACAGGAACTAAACCATACGGCCCTTCAGATCCGACTGTGTACATGCATGTGTTTTGGTCTCGGATGTCTCGCTTCGCGATTGATTCGAAACAATATTATTGTCGGAGTATTACTAGACCTGGAAGCAAAAAGTGCCCAACGTCGTCGAGATTCTCGTATTTAAGGAAGGACTACACACAGTCCTTTTTTCACGGAACAAGATGATTCCCACGCCGCCCTCTTCTAACCCCCATCGCGTCTTCTAACCCCCGATGCATGTTTTTTCCGCACGTTCCGCGCCTCTTTCCCTTACCCGCCGCGGGCCTAACAGCCGGCGTTGCTAGTGCAGCAGCAGCAAGAGCTCGAAGAGCACCGCCGGGCCATCCGCGCAACATCCGTCGCCGGCTCCTTGTCTTCGAATTCACGCCCTTCTGCTTCCGACCACACCAACTCTTCACGCCCTTCTGCTTCCGACCACAACAATACCTCCTCTTGGAGCTCACGCCCGTCCTCCTCCGACTACACCAACTCTTCGTCCTCACGCCTGTCTTCCGGCCACACCAACAGCAGCAACAACAGCAACAACATCCTCCTGCTACCTTCGAGAGGGAACGAGGGCGTAGACGGAAGCCACGAGGTCAGGCGGTCCGTGGCAACCGACGTAGACTCGAACGCTGGCGCAGACAGCGCGCTGGCGGCCCTGGAGGCCTTTCAGGCGGAGCTGGAAGCGAGGGAGAAGGAGGCGACGGCGGGGGGCGAGGGAAGAAGCGCGCCGCCGGTGCCGCCGCGGGCGCCGGGGCAAGGAACACCACCGCCCCCACCGGGTGGTTGTGTTGGTGGTGATTCCGCCGCTTCTCCGAGCAGCAGCAGCAGCAGCAGCAGCAGCAGCAGCGGTGGTAACAGGGGGGATGGAGAACATTCCTCGGAAGGGTCCCAAGACTTCCGTCTACGGACGTCAGACGAGTGGGGGCACGGGGTCCACGACGATGATGCCGGTCGTCCCCGCACGCCACGCCCCCCCCCCGACTCTTCACCTTCGTCTTCGTCGTCCACCACACCGGAGTCTGACAACGGCTTGATTGAGCGACTCCTCTCTCTTGACACGGAGGCTATCCGGAAGCATGCCGCGGCCGTCGCCGCCGGTGGCGACGGCTGCGGCAGCAGCAGCAGGGGCCCCTCATTCCCGTCTTCGCACGGCGGTGCCGCTGTTGGTGGATACGCGGACGGCCGAGATGCGGCGCCAGGGGCTGGACCGGGGCCGGTCGAGCTCCGTGACACGGACGAGCGGCCACCGTTCGGCAGACCCTCCGAAGCGGCTGTCGATGATGACCATCACCGCGCCGTGTTTTCCGTTCCCCGCGCAGCGGAAGCGGAGGGAGGAGGAGAAACGATCTTGGACAACCCGCAGCAGCAGCAACAGGAAACTCGGCTTGAGGAAGAGGGACCCCGAGACATTGGCGTCGACGCGGGCGACGGCCGCTGCGGCGGAGCCGGGCCCGCAGCAGCAGCCACCACAGAAGGCGGCGGCCAAGCTAGCGGTAGTGACCACTCGGTCTCCTTCAACGCGGGGGCCGGACCGGGCAGCAGTACGACCGGCGGGTCGGAGTGGTGGCGGCGGGGCGCGGACGGGCGGTACAGCGAAAGCGAAACCACCGCCTCGGCTGCGGTAGCGGGAAGCGAGCAGCAGCAGCAGCAGCAGCAGCAGCGGCAGGAGACTCGGCTTGAGGAAGAGGGACCCCGAGACGCTGCGGTCGACGCGGGCGACGGCCGCTGCGGCGGAGCCGGGCCAGCAGCAGCAGGCACCACAGGAGGCGGCGGCCAAGCTAGCGGTAGTGACCTCTCGGTCTCCTTCAACGCGGGGGCCGGACCGGGCAGCAGTACGACCGGCGGGTCGGAGTGGTGGCGGCGGGGCGCGGACGGCCGGTACAGCGAAAGCGAAACCACCGCCTCGGCTGCGGTAGCGGGGAGCGAGCAGCTGCAGCAGCAGCAGCAGCAGCATCGTTCCTTGCAACGGGCAGCCCCACGGGGACCCCGACATTCAGTTCACGCGGCCTCCACCGGTTCTGAGGAGAAGGGTCTCGACGGCGGAGAGGATAGCTCGGGCGGGGGTGAGACTGCTGAGACGGGATTCATGCTCCCGTCCCCGACAGGGGGAGTCGTGGGACCCCTGGGGGGGGGCGAAGAAGTCTCGCCTCTTGCTATGACCCCGCAAGGGGCCAGTGGTCCCCTTCCGAATCGTCGGGGGTCCCGTCGTCATCATCAGCCGCAGGGTACCGGCGACGGTGAGGGCGGGTTTTTCGGGAGCCGTCGGCCCACCACAGCGGCGGCGGCGGCAACGGTAGCGGGAATAGTGGAGGCGGCTGCGGCGGCGACTGAGAATCGTACACCTTCGCGTGGGAGGAGGTGGATCGACGGCTTGGGTGATGATGACGACAACGACGTTGACGCGGGCACCGACACCGCTGTCGCCCCGTCGCCATCTCACACCCCGGCGACCGCCGCGCGTCCCTTCGGCGCAAACGAAGGCGACGATGGCGACGGTGCTGCCGCGGTGCTTGCTGACGGGGCTGTCCCCGGCACCGACCCCCGGCGAAGAAACGACGCTGTAGACACCGCCGCCCGCCCTCCCGCGGCGTCACCGAGGTCCTCGGAGGCGGCGTCTCTGTTTGATGGCTCTTCTTCGCCGTCCCCATCCCCGGCGAGCGACCTATCGCTGGACCCCGAGATTTTGGTGGAAACCCGTCAACAGGCGGTGGACAGCGGCGGCGGAGGCGGTGCTGCTACGCCTCTCGAGGCTCCCGGGTGGGGGTCCCTCGCCGACTACATCGAGGGGACGTCGACAAACTCGGCGGGGTCGGCGGCCGTCGTGTGGCGGGACCTGAGCGCGGAGGAGCAGGACTTGATACTCGAAAAGGCCGGCAGCGGAGGGCGAGGGTCGGCCGGGGGGGGCGGTGAGGTGGAGGGGGTGGTAGAGGTGGAGGGATACGGATACGCCGGTGAGGGTGCGGGGTCGGACGGAAGAGCTGCGAGTAGTGATTACGGCAGCGGCGGCGGCAGCAGCGGCGGCGGCGGTGTTGCGGAGATAAAGACCGGACGAGCGGAGCAGGACGAGGTGCTGTTCGGTGGTGGGAGGTACCCCGGCGGTGGGGGCGTGTTGCCTAGTACCGCCGGCGACGAGAAAGAAGAGGTCGTTGCGGGAGCGGCGGCGGGAGCGGCCGGGCGCTCTGCTGGCGGAGACGATGATGGCGATGACGGAGGAGAATCGGCTACGCCGAACGACAACATCAGCGGAGGAGGCGGCGCCGCTCTCGGCATCAGCGACGGCGACCTCTCTTGGGCTACCCAAGACGACGACGACGGTAGCTACAGGAGCGACGGCGGGGGCGGCGGCGGCGGTGGCGGCGGCGGTGGCGGTGGCGGGGAAGCCGGCCATGTTCTCGACGCCGGGGGTAATGCTTGGGCGATTGCTCGGCGTGCCCACGACGAGTGTGATCTTTTTGGCGGTGGCATGGAGGAGGGTGGAAACGGGAGCGGCAGCGATGGAGATGGCGGTCGAGGAGACGAGAGCTGGTCGCGTTCGCTTTCGGGGGAGGAGATCGAGTTGGAGCCGTTGCCGGCGACCGCAGGAGAAGCGGCGGGACCACGACACGGTAACCCCCCACTCTCTAGTATTAGCTGGTAGATTGACCTGCGAGCCTTGAGCCCGGTCATTTTCGTTGTTTCGCAGGTTGTCCATAGATTGGCATGTCAATCGATCATGGAAGCATTCATATACATATCCCTCAAAACTTGTAGACTGACTCTCGCCACGTGCCCATTTTTGTCGGGGTATTGCACACCTCAAGGTCTAGACTACTACGGAGAATCGTTGCCAAAGAGAAGTTGGTTGTCATAGACAGAATATACTGACGTCCGTTGTGAAACGGGAGAATCAGGCATGGCATTATTGGGCGATTGCACCGCATTCGACCCAATGGGTTGATTCCAATTCCTTGGTTTGTTTTCGCCGAGGGCAGGGCGTGGAGCACGGCGGTCTTGGGGGAGAAATCTCATTCCAGTCGTTATCGTTGTCTCCCCGAATGGTGATGGTGGTGTCCTCTTGGACGAAGACTTGGACTTGCCACCCACAGAAATATATCGGCAAGAGTGGCCGGAAAACCTCCGCATGGCTTGGGCAGTGGTATAGTGGTCGTTCTTCAAGGACGTTCTCCCCGCATGGAGCGTTGACGGCTTTGTCTGGGGCAAATGAAATTGAGCTGTGATACGTTCGTTGACGTCGTTTGTGACGTCTTTCTATGTCTGTCATGTCTGTGATATGTACCTCGAAATCTCTGATATCCTCCAAGATTGTGATATCTCCGATACCTTTTTGATGTGCTCAATGGTTTCGTTGATACCTTTACCGCCTGTGATATCTTCGATACCCTCGATATTTTTATTGATATGTTTCATGCCTTTGACATCTTCGGCATCATTGTTATCTTAAGCGCCTTTGATACCATTGTTATCATGGACATCTGCGGTGACGTCTTTCGATTTCTTCGATATCCTCGTTGACAACCTCTACTGCTGTCTTTGGACCCCGCATTTCGTGCCGGTCAGCAGGGCATGAGGGTGGTGGCATCAGGCAAGGGGAGGACACGGCCCTGACGGAAGACTCTCTCAAGTTCTCCGAGCCGTCGCTCGACTCCTTGGCCATGGCGAGGGAAGGACCGCCAGGCAGGGAACCAGGGGCGCATGCTGCTGCTCGACCAGCCGGTGCCGCCGCGTGGGAGATAGGGAGTGCAGGTGCGGTAACGAATTGCCGCTGCTGTAAATGTTGATTCAGCTCGTGTGCTGTAGATGGCTCGAGCAGCGTGGGGGGGGTGGTTATGCGCGGAGTTGGCGGCGGGCCGCCAGCATTGCGCTTCGGGGCTAAACCTAGGATTGCTACTACGGTAGCCTCAGGCACTGAGAGCTACCACACAGGAGGCGCCATCGCTTGAATAACCTTTTTGGTTTGTGCCGCCTTCGATGTCTTGACCCCATCTCTCAAGGACCTCTGTGTCTCCGTCGCCTACGGCGGTGTCTTGACCCCATCTCTCAAGAACCTCTTTGTCTGCGTCGCCTACGGCGGTGTCTTAACCCCATATCTCAAGATCCTCTGTGTCTGCGTCGCCTACGGCGGTGTCTTGATCCCACCACGCCCCCTTTCGATCGACGACCCACGTCATTTCCCTTCGTCATGTTCTTGCCGGTGTATTCCTCCCGACGGCCATCTCCTCCTGTGCCAGAAGTCGTTCGAGACGAGACCCAAGAGCGGCCCGCACCTGACCATCGCGGTTGCGATGCTGGTGGCCCGAGCGGTCGATCAGAAGGAGGCGGGGGCGGGGGTAGGCTGCTGGAAGCGGAGGAGGGTGGAGAACTGGCGGCGTTTTTCAGGAGCCGAGCTTCGGGGTTTATCGCGAGGTCGAGGGCTCGGGAAGAGGCGGTGAGAGGAACAGGAACCCCCCCCCCTCCCCCTTTTTTTTTGTTCGAAAGCAAAATAAACAACAAACCAAATGCTAATCTTGTATGGTCCGTCGTGGGCTTCCGATCCAATTTGTCACCCTGCACTTAGGTGCGCTTTTCTCGGGGGTAGAAGGGGTTGTTCCGAAGTTCAAAAGCACCGTAAACAGCCCTGTCTCCAGGCGCAGAAATCTAAGGAACGTTGTTTATATTTTTACTTTACTTTTTACTTCGAAATAACCAGAAATGTTCATTCATCATCTGCTGGAGGGTCTACTTTTCAGAGAAAAAATCTGAGACCGGATTTCGAAAGCTCTCGGAATTTCCCAGATGGATTATTTTTCCGATATTTAAAATATTAAGAAACGACGAAGTTATGCCCCATCAATCGATTCTGGAAGGGTGTTTTGTTCACAATCGTTTGCGAGAACAAACTTCACGATTTGAAAATAAAGTGCGGCAAACGATTCCTCTCGTCATTCCGCGGATGGATTTTCTTTCGGATATTCAAAAAATCTAAATTTCATGAGGTATTCCATGATTTGCTTGCCGCTGTGAGTCGAAAGTTCGTACGCACACACACCAGCCGTATGCATGTGTGTGTAAGTATGCATGTGATCGGAACATTGTGTGTGTAATGTTTGTACAAATGCAAGAGGATACGTGGTGTTCGATATGCATATCACATGTGCATATGAGTATTCACCAAGCAGTTGCAATTGGTGCAGAGCTAGAAAGCCCTGGGAGTTTCCGTGGTATTATTGGGGGGTTTCGTGATACGTGTACGGAGTTCCGTGGTATGGTTAGGGGGTTCCGTGGTATGATTAGAGGGTTCCGTGGATTACTTTGGCCAAAAATGTTGCCTTTTCTCAAAAACAACAATAAATCTGCAGCTATCGACGCAGCTCGACGAGGCGATCACGAATGTCGTTGTTTCACGTTCCAACTCTTCTTTTACCAGAGTTATCCCACAAAACGTGAATGGAAAAATTCAGGGCAATACTTGGCGACGCAGTCGCCCCGTAGGATGGGAATGTTAAGAAAAGCCTGCCCCAGGCGGATTTTTGTTGGGCTTACCATCAGCTTTGATGGGATCGGATCTTAATTTCTCCGATGGGAATGGGATGGGATGGGAAAAGGATTGCGCTTCACACGGATGGGATGGGATGGTATTGGCCAATTTGTTGCTGGGACGGGATGGGAACTGCTGGATGTTTCGATGGGATGGGATGGATACGTTCACGAAGGGGTGTTGGGATGGGATGGCAACATCTCAAGTTTTCGCTGTTGATGGCGATAGCTTTTATCGAAAGGTTTGCCGCCACTCTCTCCTGTTCATGGCGAAGACACTATATATGGGCACAGCATTCATCAGGTTGCACAATTCTTTTAGCACACAAAGGAGGGTGTGAGGACACTAGTCCTGTCAGAGACAGAGGCCGGTGCTCTTGCAGTATTCTCCCACTGCCAAGGGTGGCTATTTCCTTTCGTGAGATGTAACGAGGAGAGAGATAGAAGAAGAGTGACCAGAGGGTCGAGAGGGGCGAGCCGGAGGCTCCCCCATCTCTTCCCTCGGCAAGCGGCCATGGACTTCGGAGGAGACAAATCTCCTCGGTGCTTTACTTGCCACTTCTCCCGATGGCAAGTTACCCCGAGGAATCATATCTTCCTATACTTTGAATGTGCACAAATGGTTGGTTATTTATTCCGACAGGTGTCCTCCACAGGTGGTTGAAAATCATGCCAGCCAGTAAGGCTCGTTTTATAGATCTAAATATGCATACATAATCCTTTTCATACGAGATACTACGCACAAACAAAAAAGGAAAGAAAAAAAACACAAACATGCACATATCTACGGGTTGCTTTTCCTCATATGGTACGCATTGGTTGCCTTCCTCGCTACAAAATCAACTATAATAGCACAGAGAGATGCATCTAGCATGCAACACAGCTACACAATAATTGAAGAACGACAACCCCTCCCGCCGAGGCACTGTTGCTGACACCGCTGTTGAAGTGCTGGGAGGGATGTGCTTTGTGATGGGAGTGGCTGGGATAGGATTTGCCATTCGGATGGGAGTGTAGATGGGATGGGAGCGACCTGGGAATTCTAGATGGGATGGGATGGTACGATGGATCCGATGGGATGGTAGTGGGATGGTAAACGTGGTGGGATCGAAAACCATCTACTCTCCCACTACCATCCCACTACCATCTCACTACCATCCTATTACCATCACATTTACCATCCCATCGAACTCCACGTATAGCCCCGGAAAAATTGTCATGGACGGACCATACTTGGTTGTCTTGCGACCCCCCCCCAAAAAAATAGTATTAGTTCAGATACATGACACACATTTTCTTGATAATTGTAGATTGTCCATTTGTGAGTCTGCTTGCCTGTGGTACAAGTGTACGTCTGTGTTATTTTTCCAATAATAGTATTACTATTTTGGGGTGATTGGACCACAAATGATGTTGAGACGGTCAGAGGAACCTTGTTTATTTTTTCCGTTCATTTTGTTTTTTTCTTCCAGAAACGAAACAACGTGATCATATTTACCTCTCAAGCCTCCCGCTTTTCGATGACAAGCAAGTGCGTGTCGATGTGAGCCAACGATTGCCAAACCACGACACACTTGATGCCCGTCTCCGTTCTCCCTATGCATAGAATGGTTTAGATTTGCCGCACCAACCTCCGCACACCCGTCTTCACGTACGAGGTGCCGATGCCTGTTCTCGACCTCCGCCGCCGGTTCTTCTTTGTTACTTTCTCACCCGGCGACGTAATATATCCCATGTCACCCCCCTTTCATGGGGATGTCTTGATATCCATGTCGCCCCCTTCCGTTATTTGCGCAGGTGCGGCAAAGGAGAGACTCCCGACGGAAGTCCCGTGAAGACGAGGACGCTATCGCCGCCGCGGCCGCCGTTGCCGCTAGCGCTACCGCCGCCGCTGCCGCCGAACAGCGGCGTGACCAGCCACACCAAACCGGGGTCGGGCCGGGGGCGCGGATGAGAGGGGGTGTTGATGTCGCGGGGCCCCCTTCCGGGTTGCTTGGCGAGTCAGGAGGAGGAGGAGGTCGACGGAGGGTTTCGATCCAGGAGGCCAGGAAGAGGACCGCAAGGTAACATGCAGGAGGTTTGGCGAGGTCATTGTTAAGCTTGGTGTTCCTAGGGGTTACGGGTGTGGGTCGAAGTGCCAGTAGGTTGAACGAGGTTGTCATTACGCTTGATTTTAGTAGGGGCTGGGGGAAGGGTCGCGAACGCCAACCCCCCCCCCCGCCCCCCCCTCTTTACCATAGTAGATTGATGATATCATCCTGGCGAAGGCGGTCCCGAAGTAGACACGGAGGCAAGGGTGCTGCTATCCTTGTGTCGTCCTTGTTGCTATAGTGTCCCTGCTACTGTTCGTAGTGGGTAGTGTCGATTGGCGTGTTTCTGTGGGGGGGCGGGGTCTCGAGTCCATTCTCCTTGTCCCTTGGAAACCCCGAAAGGACGTCAACGATCACAACAGCTCCCTTTCGGCCGCGCTGCCGAGGGTACCTGCCTCTGTGTGTTTTTCTCACGTTTCGCCGAATGCAATCTCAACTCTCAACTGTCAACTGTCAAGTCTCAAGTCTCAAGTCTCAAGTCTCAACTGTCAAGTCTCAACTGTCAAGTCTCAAGTCTCAAGTCTCAACTGTCAAGTCTCAGAACGGACACCGTGACCGTGGAAGGAGGGCGTCCGGATCGGTCTGACCGGTAACGTTTTTAACGTGAAAATAATAACAACATTAACAACAACAACATTAACGCCAACAACAATGACGACAACAACAATGACGACAACAGCAACAACAACAACAACAACAACAACAACAACAACAACAACAACAACAACAACAACAACAACAACCAACTGCTGTGTTTCGTCGCGGGGTTTACCGACCACGATCACTCGACGTGTGCCTCAGGCGAAGTATCTAACCACCGCAACACCGTGGCCAGGCTGGCCCTTGGAGATGAGCAATCACTCGTTCGAAGCCCTGAGGACCGCAATTATCTTTATTTTATGGCTATGTGGTGCCATTCGGGTTTTGACAATTTCGCGTTTTAACGCCCTTCCCCAACCCCCCGCGGGCCTCCCTCTGGCGAACCCCCCCCCCTTCCCCCCCCCTTATGCGGGCCTCCCTCTGGCGACCTTGATTGGGTTGCGGCAGGCTCTACAACTCCCTGCCGGAGGTGCGCGAGGCTCGAGAGAAGAAGGAGAAGAACGAGGAGCGCGTTAGGCGTTTGCTGGAGGCGAGGGCCCTCGAAAAATCTCGACATCGCTCTCGAAGGGGTGGAGGAAGAGGAGGAGGGGGAGGAGGAGGAGGAGGAGGAGGAAGGAGTACTGGCAGGAAGTGAAGAGGGTCGATCTATTCGCATCATGAAAGCGCGGTAACAGGCCGGAGCAGGCGTTGAAAAAGGAGTGAATAGAGGCACAAGGACTTCGAAGATTGTTGGAAGTTGCTGTCCCTCCTTCACGCCTGCCCCCGCGAGCTTGTGGGATGCTGCCAGGAACGGCGAGACGAGATCATACAGTCTACCTGCAGTATTTCGTTAGTGTCTCGGGTCAGGTCCGCTTCGTAGTTTTGGTGGTCTCTGTATGATAGCGATAGTCCCTGCATATGGCCGGATGGTGGTGCCGAGGGATTTGGCGCGGCAATAAAAAAAAATCCGGGAACCCGGCACTATTCTTCAGAGCGTGGGACAACGTGAGTATTCCATCCGTGTCACGCGGCATCACAGGCCATGTAACAGGGCGACCGGCCTTACATCGGCACCAAAGAGTTTAATTTAGGTATTCATTCAGTTGCATTTACTCAAGGATGTATCTGTGAACGTTAAGCTCCTCGCGTGCATCATACGGTTACTGGCACTAGCTGCTTTGGGTTTCACCCTTTACGCTTGACCAGTACTGTACTGCTAGAGTTTCGCGCTGCTGACATTGTTGCCTGCCGCAGCTGCTCTGCTGTAGGGTGTGTTTCGTGTCATGTTTGACTTGAACAATTTTTTTATTAAGGGCGTTTCGGAGTATTTCATGTATCGTAGGTTACAGGGCGTTGCCTAGCATCCGCTCTCGGGAAAGCCTGGTGAATTGTTGTGTGTACAAAGTGGTGACGTGATTGTCTGGAGGTGTTTTCTCCTTTTTGAAGGACATCCTCACGTACGTGCGGACTTAGCTTTCGTTCAGCGAAAAAAAAATTCATTCAGTGACAAGAGATTCTTGTACATCCGCAAATGCTGCCGAAGTCGCCCCCCTCTGGAGGCCTACTAGCATTAATCTTGATCTTGGTATCGAGCGTTTAATTCCAAGCCTGACTGAACACACACACTCGGAAAGCTAAACATTGGCCACCTGTATCCAGCACCACACGTGAGTGTGTTGGTAGAACTCGACACAAGACAATACCCCAAAGAAAGCAAAGGGTTACGTGTACTCAACGCTAAGTAGGGGAGGGGCACGGACAGGAAGCACGAGGATGCCTGCTCTCAAGAAACAGAAAGCGCTACCCGCACTCAAAAACCTCTTAGCATTCTAGTTTGGGCTGGGGGTTCTTACAGTAGTTCCTGGGGTCACGCTACGAATGGGCTCAATCGACCCAAGTTTTGTGGTTCTTACCTAAAGTAGCTCACAAATGATGCTCAGGTTCTCAAATATTGAGCTTCTTGAGGCTCAACTTCTTTTGCTCCTGGGTTCTCAAGTGCGGGAACTTTCGGTGCCCACCCGAGGTGGTCGGACGCTGCGTCCAACGCATGGCACCAGGCGTCAAACATGCATTGCAGACAAAAAAAGTGGGCATCCATCAAAATGGTGCTGCACGTGTACCGCTTGGGACACCGCACATCCACCAAAAGGGTGCTGCACATGTACCACTTTGGGACACCGCAGACGGCGTTCAGCTTGTTTGCGGTTTCTGATGGCGGGCCTGACCTCAGATGGTCATCAAATGACTTTTCATGATGGTGCGGGAACTACATGGAACCACCAAAACTCGGTGGATTAATGGTTGTCATCTCTTGTCTTGTTACCCTTGACTAAACTAAACCTGCGTGCGAAACTAACGGCCAAAAAAGCAAACCGCAAAAATTCCCAACTACCCGCTAAAAGAACAAGGCAGGGACAAAAAAATCTAATTATTACCGTAGATTTTATGAGTATTACAAAAAATCTCATCCGTATCTCGGTGTCCACCGTCCAACACACCATCGATCTGGAAGGCTCTTCAAGCCGTCTGAATGTTGAAGCACCAAACCGATAAAACTGATTCGGTTGAGGCACACATGGGCCTAAAAATGTTGTATGGCCCCTTTTCTTATCTACAAAAGCAGTACCCGCCCAACGGGAAAAGAACCCCCCCAAAGGATACTCGGTAGGCGGTCGAGGCGGCTCAGGCGGCATACAAAGAGCTATCGGGGGGGGAGCGGGGGGTTGAGCTGGAGGGTTTAATGTGCGTGATACGACCAGCTCTGCCAGCACCCAAACACCGGTTAGTCTCATACCTCCTCCACACAACTAAAAAAAAGTTACTTCCACGTATCGTAAACCTGACCTACACCTGGTTGAAGACGTGAGTGGCCGTGAATCTAAATGTAGCTGGACCCAGAGACCGCTACTACTGTAGCGTTTGTGCAGCTCCTGCCACACGCCACCTCTGCGTGGCCCATGACAGAGAAGAAGACAAAGTCTGCCAGGAGCAGCAGCTTCCGATGGCCCCGGCATCACGAACTAGACCAGACCCTTTCGCTGCACTTGACGAAAAAACACGTCGACCCCTCCACCAACACCATACACCAACACCATACACGAACACCATCGGGCATCACGCCGGCCGTTACACCTCACGGCCGATGCCGTTTCCCAGCAAGACGCGTCCCATCCTTGCCTCTCTTCTTGTACATCCTCGCCAGCGACATGAGGACGTCCGCACAAGCACATCCCCGCCTGTTCGAGTTTTTTTTTCGCGTTGACAACAAAGGCAGCAAAGGAGGCGGAACAAAAATAAATCAGCCATCGAATAAAAAGCAAATCAGACATTTGAGAAAACGTAGTCAAGGCTTCGCGGAGAAGCTCTAAAAGTGATGCTTGTTCCTTGAACATCTGTAATCTATAGTCCAAGACTTTTGCGCTCGACACAACGACATGCGAAGGCAGGAAATGTCGGCTGCTGAAAATCGGTGCAGCGGCAGGGGTATCATCTCTGGCGACCACATCATCGCTCCCTGTTGTGTTGCAGTTCGTACTTCCGATGCTGGTGTGTTTCTGGTGCGTTTCAGACTTGCGCTTTTTTTTTGACCTCCCCAAAGTGGTGTGCAAACGTTCCTTTTGAAAAGGCACGAAACAGTGCGCTACGACGATAAAGTACACTGGTGCCAATCCCACCGAAACAAAGCCGAATGCCCTGAAATAAAGACGAACATTCCGAAACAAAGCCGAACGCTCCGAATAACAGACGAATGCTCCGAAAAAAAGCCGAACGCCCCGAAACACAGACGAATGCTCCGAAACACAAACGAATGCTCCGAAACAAGGCGCATGCTCCGAAACGAAGGCGCATGCCCTGAAATTAAGCCGAACGCTCCGAAACAAAGCCGAACGCTCCGAAACAAGGACGAAACAACGGAGAATGCTCCGCACCCCACGTCATGCACCCTAACCCAAACAAAATGAGGGCAAATACTCCACGCTGTACACACACAACTACTTGTAGCCTGAGCAACGTTTCGGGGATGTGCTAGTGCACACATGTCCTTTTCTTGAAACACAGCATGTCCAAGAGAACACTTTGATTTGATTCAAGTGACAAGAAGAATCCCCAGATTGGCGTGTTATCGGCTTGTATTTGATGACAAGCGGACGGACACAAACAAACAAGACAAACATCATTAATTTTTTTTTTTACTTGACAACATTAAAAAAAAATTACCCGGGTTTCAGCCTTGCCCGTGGCTACCGAGAGTCCGCTTGTCCGTGGTCAGACGATAAGTTGATTTTGAAACCTGTCAGGGGAGGCTGCTGCGCTCCTACTTCTTCCGCGCTGCTTGGTTGCGCCGCATCACTTCTTGATTGCGCCGCGCTGGCGTTGTCGTCGCCCGCAGCACCTGTATAAAGCAGGGGAACCGTTTTATCATCAACAGAAGATGGTTCGGGAACTAGGCGAGTCACACTCTCAGATTCGGCCGGTCGTTGGACCCTTTTGCTGCGTCGACTCCAACCACCCCTTTCAGCGGCTAGGCTGGTCGAATTATTGTGAAAAGCTTACGACATACGTAAAATCACTTCAAGAATACCCCCGCCCTTGTTGAGCGATCGCCCGTGCAAACGCTATGTAGCGCATCAGTCTGAAAAAAATACTTATGTGAAACAGAAAAAAAAGCGGTGCACTGACCGCTTGACCAGTGACTTGACGTCAGTCCTTAAGCGGCGAAAAACGGAAACAGCTCCTTAAGGCCATGGTCTGGGAGAGCGTCATGGAGGAGGCTACGCTACTCCCCGGATCAAACACAGAAGCAGCAGCAGGAACTGTGCTGGGTGAGTCGGGCGCGGCATGCGCGACTCTCCTGGAGTTTTCATTCAAGCAGGGACTTCAGCCACAGGGGGCGGGGACAGCGCGCTGCAGTCAGTCGTGGGTATTGCATCATAGGTGGGACGGTGACCGCGACAGAAAGGGGATGTTATAAACGTAGCTCGGTCCACATTTCAAGGGGCTGGGACATAAGCAGGCTACAGAGTTGTGTCGTATTGCGGTACAGAGGAGGCGGAACGAGCTGCAGAGGCTGCCAAGTCTGAGGTGAAGAGGCTTGGGGCAGCACCGCAGTCGGCGGATACATCCGCCCGCGAGCCAGGAGGCGAAGGTCAAGTGTTGCTCCTTCCTGGTGGGACTCTGTATCTGCATTGGCGGGGTCAACATGGCCACGTGCGGTGGGAAACAGTAGCACTGGTGCCGCACCAGCGCTGCTGTGTCTCACTGCACGAGGGCAGATGGACCCCACCAATACAGACAAGAGTCCCACCGGGAAGACGCAACTGGGCCTTCGCCTGTTAGCTCGCGGACGGATGTATCCCCCGACTGCTGTGCTGCCCCAGGCCTCTTCACCTCAGACTTGGTAGTCTCTGCAGCTCGTTCCGCCTCCTCTTCCACCCTAACCCGCTTAGCTGCAACCTCATAATCCCTACCAGCCATACGAAGCAACTCTGTAATGACCTGCTACATGTCCCAGCACCTCAAATCCTATCCGAGCTGCATACACATACCCTTTGCTGTGGCGATGCGCGCGATGGCTACCGCCCGTCCGATGCACAGTAACCTTTGAATCAATGCTTGCGATGCATAGTCTTCTTCGACTGCTGTGATATGTTACCTCGAAGGGTAGTCATTCTATGATTGATTGTGTGTATAATAAAAAAAAACACCTTCTTCGACTGCTGTGGTGCATATCACCTCCAACGGCAGTCTTTCATTTATTGTGTGTATATGCACGCACCGCAGAAGGAAGGTGGGGCATGAATAAAAAATGAAAGAAGAAAAAAGCCCTGGTGATTTACCCCCTCCTGTGTGACCCTGGATCGTTGTAGTTGTACGAAAAAATACACTGAAAAGTCTAGTACTCTACAGCACTGAAAAGTGTATTAACAGTACACGTGTCACCAAAATGAGGGGACTGTCGCCATAACAAGTAGGACGAAAATAACACACATATCTAAAAACTATATATATATCGACCCTCACCGGTGGCGGCGCCAGCCCCCACCCCCGATGCACTGCCCAGCAGCAGGGCCCTCCCTTCCTCCTTCCCCTTGGCAACCTCAGCGTTCGCCCACGAGGTGATGAGCGCGTTGTACACCATCGCATTCCGCGGAGCCCCCATCTTGGGCATCGACTCCAGGATCTCGACGGCCTGGGTCCACTGCCCGTCGTGGCCCAGGGCGGCGATGAGGGAGGTGAATGCCGCGGCGTCGGGGCGTATGCCGGCCGAGAGCATCTCCTTGAGCAGGAACGTGGCCTTGTCGCGCTGGTTGGCGTCCGCGCACGCGGTCACCGCCGCCGTGTAGGCCACCAGGTCCGGGGTGATGCCCAGGGACTTGGCCTCCGCCAGCAAGCCTTCATGTTTTGGGCGGGGAAAAGGGGGGTGGGAGGTGTACTCATAGTCGTGCATGCCGTAGTCGTTAGACCATTGACCTCGCATCCCTACAAAGCCGGGACGGAGCACGCCGGG